TCTTGCAAACTCCTCAATTACATTAAATCCTGTAAGAGAGAAAAATGACAGCCATTTATTCCTTGAATGAATTCTTTTTCTTGGCTTCTTCAAAGGCTGGTCCCTATACAGGTACAATCAGGGTATGGTTCTTGCCCAAAATGCAAAGCAGGCATGTAATATGGATAAGTTTTTTCCTAAGCATGGAACTATATAACATAATGATGAAGCTGGAAGAGGCCATGGAAAGACTGTGTTACTCCTAATAATCAATCGACCTCATCTACTTGAATGCCTTACTGACACTTTAAGTTCAGCATGACTCTGATTTTGTCTTCCTCACTTCCTCCCCAAGTCTCCATGTCTTTTGTGTTCTGCCTCTGTGAATGCCTCCATCACCCATCCTACTTATCCTTAACTCTTTTCTCCTATTCGTACCACAGAGCTCACTAGCTAAATCATCCTCATTTTCACAGTCTGCATATTATCCCCTTCTATGTTTTCTCACTTGCTCCATTTAGCTTACATTCTACCCACCTTCTAACTGCTCACTCTCTCTACTCTACCCATGCTCCAGGCTGCGTCAATTATTACCTAAAATGCAGATCTGATCAAGTCACTCTATTGCTAAACATCATTATCCAGCACCCCATTGTTCACAAAATGAAGTTCTCCATAACCCAGTTCAAAGGTTTCTTGTAAGTGAGTTCTTGCCCCCACTATAAGCTTCATCTCCTGTCAATCTCCATCCTACATGCTAAAGTTACCCATACTATTTTCACCTCGAAATCTTTTCTACTCATCTTCTTGTCTCTCCCCACAAAGACCTTGAGTCCAAGCCAAATATTCATGTTCTGTCTCTTTATCATAATTCAAAATATGAATTAAAGATAAAAATAAAAGGTTTGATAAGGATTTTTGTTCTCTTTTCAGATGATGTTTGCATTGCTTAATACGCTTAATACTTTAATTCAAAAGAATAAATAATAAGTACAATTCAGCATGTTATGGACACCCATGGCAAAGAACTGCAGAGATTGTTGGTGATTGATTAAATTATACCTCACAGGTAATAATCACTCTACAGTTTGGCTGGGCTTGACCAACAGAATGGCCACTGTCTGGAGGCTAACCCTTCCTTATAAGGCAGCATATGTACTATAAAAGGCATAGGATATAACTTGCCAATGGAGTTTGAGTGTCTGTTTCTTCATTCACTGAAGGAGCCATAGGGAAAATATTTCACTTTTCTGAACCTCATTTTTTAGCAAATCGTTAAGACAATATCTCTTTCCCTAGATTGTTATGCTAATAAAATGGAACTAAGTATGTAAAAAGACTGTACAAATGGTAGCAAAAATACTTCATAATCTATAAAGCACTGCACAGTGTGAAAAGGAGTGGTATGGGAAGAGAAAGAGACAATGGAGTCAAAATACATGGTATTGTGGGCGGATATGTGTCCGCAAAAATATACGTTAAAGTCCCAACCCTCAGTACCTGTGAATGTAACCTGATCGGGAAATAGAGTCTTACAGAAGTAATCAAGCTAAGATGAGGTCATTAGAGCAGGCCCTAATCCAATAGGGCTACTTATAAGAAAAGGAGAAGACAGACACATACAAGAGAATGCCATTTGAAAAAGGAGGCAGAGATCAAAGTGATGTGTCTACAAGCCAAAGCACACCAAGGATTGTTAGCCATCACCAGACACTAGGAGAGGCATAGAACAGATTCTCCATCAGAGTCCTCAGAAGGAACCAACTCTTTTGACACCTTGATTTCAGACTTTTGTCCTCCATAACTGTGAGATAATATATTTCTATCATTTTAGGATACCCCAGTTGGTAGTAGTATGTTATAAAAGCCGTGGGAAACTAATACACAATAGGTACGAATTTTAGCTCCAACACTTACTAGCTCTATGAATTGTAGTAAAAATTATTTGAACTCTTCCCCTGACATTTGAGGGACACTTACCTTTCTGTGATTGTTTCTCTGAGGCCACTTGCCACCCCTTTGACAACAGTGCTGGCTTTGGGGGTCAGCACCACCTGAGATATGAAAAATGAGCCCTTCTTTCTTCTCTCAGTGATAGATGCCTGAAGAAACTGGATCAGTTTCTCAGGGTCTGTGGTGTTGGCCCAGGGTGCCGGCATCATCTGCCCGGGCCAGAGAAAGGGCACTTCCAGAGCCACTGGACTATGGTAGAAGACCAGCACTTGATAGTCCTTCTCCCACAGGTACTTTAAACTAACTTCCTGGGCAAAAATCGCTGGGCACATTTTGTTTCCATAGATGTCTTTCAGCATCTGGACTAGTTTTTCATGGTGATATTTCTGCATCCCATAAAAATGGTTGAAGTCCAAGAATATGACCTCCTTATGGTGATCTGTGAGGAATGCATTGATCTCCTCAAGGCCTTCATTGACTTTGGCACTGAACAAACCATGAGCAAAGTAGAGTTCGTTGTCGGGGTCTCTGGGCTTGGTGGAAATTCGAAGATCAAAATAACGAATTCCAGCTCCTAGCTGACCAGTAAAGTTCATTGTCTGAGTGGCTAACCATTTCCTCATGAGCTTTTTGGCCACGGTTCCAAATACAGAGACAAAATTCTGGACAGTTTCTGGCTGTTCAGGACCTACAGGAGAGGCTTCATCAATGTAGAAGCTGAAGGAATCGTGAGATCCTAGAAGAATAACAAGGCAGAATGTGGTTAATTTCCAGTTCTCTGTCCTTCCCAACTTCTCTCCCTCTTTCAATATCCATACCATTCCCTGGAATGAGCCAAAGAAAATACTAAACAATATTTATCAAATTAATTTTCATGTGTTAGGAGGATCCTTTTTGTAACCTAGCATAAGACAGAGAATACTTCAATAGATCTAATTCACAATAAAATAATAAGGGAATTTCCTTCTGATCAATATATT